GGATATTCTTGATGAATTCCACAACTACAAGGCCTTATAAATTGCCTATCTGGTCAAATGGAATTTTGAAAAATGCTACTTATAAAATAGTGATGGAAAAGATCTGGGAAATACATATATACAAGAATCCCATTAATGTTTTAGTCAGTCTAAAAATACATGACTTGTCCAGTTAATAAGCCAACACTAAAGTTTAAGATTACACAATTTCCTAAGTCTTCTAATCTTACAATTTCCTCAATCTAAACTACATTTCAAAGGGGTTTTTTTTTTGGCTGGCATTAAATGAAAGGACTGTGATCTGTATCCTTAGATGGAGTGCCCACACTGGCTCGTATGGGTACAATCACAGATCCTTCAGTGCATCAAAGTATTCCTGGAAACTAACTTTAGGTTCTGTAAATGATACAATATTTCCTACTACGAATCACTTCCAATCACCTCAAGAGAAATGGCTTCATCATTAAACTGTCAGTTAAAATATGCTTTAGTGTAGGTTCTTTCTTTGTGATATTACAGGGAGGGCAAATCCCTCAATGCCTCTCGAAACAGGTGTTAAGCTGAAGCTCCGGAAGTTTCACATTGACATTCGCTGCTCAGAATCAGGGAGGCCACACAACCTGTCAAAGCGGGCAGCCAACTCTGCAGGTCACTTTACATCAAGGCCAGTACTCAGATTCCCCCCTTCAAGTCCTCTTCCTCCAAACTGTCATCCCACCCTCATACCGGACCTGCTTAACCCTTTTGTAAGCATGCCCGTCTTCCCCTCCGCACCCTCCCCCTGCCCCGCCCCGCATCGACTACACTTCTCGGTTGCCCTCAAAAACCCCCGGGTCCAGAGTCTCCCAGTTGCACTGGAGAGGGTAGGTGACCTGCTTGGGGGCCCGGAGCCTAAACTCTGTATTCCCCACCCCCACCACCTCCTACCCACCTGAGCCCATGGATCAAGGGAGCACTGTTGGACCTCCTCAGGCTGCCCCCATCCGGGGGGTCGGTGGCAGCAGTCGGCAGCTCCAGGTCCAACTCCATTTTCTCCTGAGCCATGCCGGGAGGCTGGGTATCGGGATGTGGGGATGGCCTTTGGCTACGATCGGTTCTCAGCTCTGGGTTCTCTCGGCTCCCACTCACTGCAGGACAGGGAGAGGGGGAGAGAAGGAAGCAGCAGGAGGAGGTGGTGGCTCTAGAAGGAGAAGGGGAGGCTCATACTGCCGCCTTCCCCGGGGCCTACAAACATCGCGGCCACCCTGGCAGCCGATCACACGATGCAGGGCAGAGGCCCAGCACTGGTAGGACCTGGGCCTGGGTCTGGGTCTGGGCCTGGGCCTGGGCCCAGCCCCCCATCCTCTGTCCCGGGACTTCGCCCCGCTAATTCTAGGTTCCCCACTCCCCTCCACCCGACCAGATAAGGGCTACAGATGCAGTCAATCCTCCTCCTCCTCCTCTTCCTCAGGCCGGCAGGAACAGCCCCGGAGAACCAGCTGGCGGGTTGGGGCCAAAACAAAAACTACAACCTGCTGCCTGTACTGCTTCCGTCGCCGTCGCCACAGCTTCCGAAGCCTCAGCAACAGCAGGCCCGGCCCTCTTTCCGCCACTCCTTCTGGGCGTTCTGTGACCACCCAGGCAAGTCAGCTCTTAGGAAGCATGCGCAAGAAAACAACTCCGCGAAAAGGGGGAGCCTTTGCCGGAGGCGGGGCGCTCAGGTAGTAACTATTGGCAGATGGGCCCTGGCGCTAGAATTTGAAAGGGACCAATAGGCTGGTGGAATACGAGCAGGTCTTTCTAGGAAGGGGCTCGGGCCAATGGCTGGAGGAGAAAGAGTAAGGACCCTAAAGCCCCTCAATTTCTCCTCACTCCGACCTTCGGATGACTCCATGGCCAATCAGGGAAATTACCTAAATCCGCCAGTTCTGGTGGTCTTTCTTTGGAATGGGGGGGAAGGGAGACTGATTTCTTATTGAACTGGAGTGAACGTTTGTGCAGCTTTTTAAGACGGTCAAGTGGGAAGCGCTAGGTCAAAGGGAGATAAAGGAAAAGGGAAAAATCTTGTCAGAATTGTATGGTTCTACCTCCACGCAATTTTTATAAATCCTTCCTACTCACCCCTTCCCCCCTTTTCGGAACATGCCATTTATTGTCCTTTTGCCCTTTAAAGATAAGTAGGTGGAAAGACTCATCCTTATTTTTTTTTACCAGTACAATTAATTTAAGTAAGAGCAGCACCAGTGTATTAGATAGAGCGGTGGAACTGGAATCAGAAGGACTTAGGTCCCAGCCCCTCCCTCCTCTGACAAATTATCTGCTGTGTGATAAGGGACAGATCATTTCACCTCTCAGAGCCTCGGTTTCTGCATCTGTAAAATGGGGATAATTACAAGGTTGTGAGGAAAGAGTTGTATTGCAAGCGTCCAAGAGCTATAGAAATGCGACTTATAAAATCTGTAAAAGAAAGAGAGCAGGAATTCAGTTCCAACAAATACTTATTAAGCGTGTGCAGGAGGCAAGACAGCTGATCCTGACAATCATGATTCAGAGGCATGACTTCAGCCAGAGGATGGCTTTGAATTCCTGGCTCTGCTGTTGACCTTCCAGCTTTAAAGCAGGTAATGTTTTGTGAAAACTGGAATCTCTTGAGCCTCCATATGGATATAGCTCAGGGGGAAAATCCTGTTGGTACTTGAAAACTGACTGCACTCCTTTCAAAAATACTTTAAGTTCACCATATCAACTTGCAAACATGTTTTACCTGCTTGTTTCCAAGAAGCTGTTTGTTCTTGATTATTCTCACCCCATTTTAACTGCTCTTTTACTTCTCAACCCCGTTTTCAATTTGTAACACTGTATCATTTGCCTGAAAGGCAATGTGGCATTGCAGGTAGGGGACCAGCCAACCTTGGAGGCAAAAACACTTGGGTTCCAATCTTGTTTATGACACATACTAGCTATGTGACCATGGGCAAGTAAGCAATCTAGCTTGGATGTGTCTCAGATGTTTCTTAAGACCAAGTTATAGATGAGTTTCTGATCTGCCTCTGTGGAAGGAGCCCTATGTGGGGAGTTCCCAGGCCTCATGCAATTTGGGGTCCAGACCACTCTCCCCCCACCCCCAATCATTTTGTACTCGTTGATTCATTGTTTGTAATTGTTGTCATATTCCTTCTATGTGTTTTAATTCCCCAACAATTTCCACAGAGCAGAAAGTATATTTGTTTCTTTTCTATTCCCTTCACCCCCCCCCCCCCCCCAAGTGACCCAATCTCTGGAAAGATTGGGTGGCAAATATTTACGGAATGACTAGTGGATTTGGTCCCTTTTGGTGAAGAGTTTTAAAATAGATTTGGATCACCAATAGAGGAAAACACAAAAAGAATATGAAATCAATAGAGGAAACTAAGTTGTTTCTTTGGATAAGGTTGTCTGATATTTGTTCAAGTTCCTACCCTGTTTCTTTGAGGATTTATCTGATGTGGGAGGTTGGGGCTTTGGTCTTAATTTGCAACGTTATTAGTTATAATGGCCGGAAAGTAAGAGGGGCTTAATCCTGATAATAGGGTGAGACCAGATTGCGATATTCTTTGGGGAGTACTGTTTCTAGGTAACAGGAAATTGATGACATCACAGATCCCATTGGCATAAGACAAGTAATGCAGAGGAGGAATTGATATAGTTGGTGGATGTGTCTTTGCTATTTATTTGCTATCACTCGTTGAAGATGGCAAGCAAAGAAGATTGCTCCTGCAATGATTTAAGGTAAAATGCATTTGTAAAGATTTTACTTTCAAAATTCATTGTGGGGTTTTTTTTTTTGAGGGGGTTGGTTTTTTTTTGTTTGTTTTTGTTTGGTTGGTTTTTTTTTTTTTTTTTTTTTTGGTACTTGAGGATATGTGGGGACCTCTATTTTCATCAATATGTATAAATCCCACATCGGGGGAAAGGGAAACTGCCTCGACCCGTATAGAACATGTTAAGAGGTTACCACAGTTGATAGTGTGTCAAAAGGCAGGACTTCAACCCTTTTGTTCCTGACTCCTAGAACCGTAGATCTAGAACTGGAGAGAACTTAGAGAACGTCTAATTCAATCATTCTCATTTTAAAGATGATAATGGGACCCAGAGAAGTAAAGTGATTTATTTGTCTAGCGTCCCACCACGGGAAGTGGCAGCCTCAGAATTTGAATTCGGATCTCTCTTTACAAACCCTGAGCTCTTTCCTCTACATCTTGGTTCTTCCAAAACCTAATCTTTTATGAAGTTAATTTGGGGGGGGGGGGGCCTGGAAGAGGTGTCCTGTATTCTGCTGTGTTCAATATTTGCCCATGACTTTGTGTTCTCTCTGACACTTTGGCTACCGTCTTCTACATCCTCCCGGGTTAGTTTGCTGGCTTTTGCCTTCTGCATCTTGAGTTTTCCAAGGCAACTAAGTGCCTAATCGCTCCAACTTGTAAAAACCGAGTTGGACAGGCCCCCTCTCTCCTCTCGCCCGCTTTCTCTCCTGCGCACCCACAACAAAAGCGATGGTCAAAGAGAATCGTCCTAGGGGCCCTTAACCTGGGGAGTAAGGAAGAGGAGAGCTAATTTTCTAAGCGTCCCCCGGAAACATGGCTGGGGAAGGAGAAGGGGAGGCAGGATGCCCGATGCCGGCGCTTGCGCCGTAAGGCCGTGCTGTCGGGGCGGACGTGGGGGCGTAAGCGTGCGGGGCGGACCCTGCCTGCTCTCAGGAGGCGGCAGGTTGCAGTTTTTGTTTTGCCCTCGGCCCTTCCGCTCCTGGGTCCCGGGGGCTCAGAAGGAGGGCCGGCGGCAGCCGCGACCCCGGAGCGTCGGCGTGCTAACTTGTCCCTGAGGCCGAAGGGAAGGGGCTGGGGGTGGAGGGTGCCCAGGAAGCTGCCGTGCCCAGGCGTGAGGCCAGGGCCCAGAGCATGGGGGCCGGAGTGGCTAGGCCGGGCCCTGCCCCCCGCCGTGCTCTCTGCTGCTGGGCGGGCCTCCAAGCCTTGAACCGGGCCCCCGCCCACGGCCGCCCCGGGTTGGCAGCAGCATGAGCCGCCCCGCCGTCTAGAGTTGCCTCCGCCTCCTCCATCCCCATCACTCCCCACTCCTGGTCCCCGCCCCCCTCAACCCCCCCCCCCCCGCGCCCTGGGGTGAATGGGAGCCCAGAGCTGAGGCCCGGCACCTGCCCCCCGCCATGGCTCAGGAGAAGATGGAGCTGGACCTGGAGCTGCCACAGGGCACTGACGGGGGCGGCCTGCGGAGGTCCAACAGCGCTCCGCTCATCCATGGGCTCAGGTGAGTGAGGGCTAGCTGGGCGGCCGAGGATGCTTGGGGGGGGGCTGTGCGCATGCGCCCCGCATCCGCTTCAGCAGGTGTTTCTTCACCCATCTCCCCTCCTCCATCATTTCTTCATCCCTTTCAAACCAACCTTCCTCTATTATCTTCTTCCCACCTCGAGCCCAGCCGGTCAACAGTACCGGCTGACCCAGGCGCGCGCTAGCTTGCCCCGAGGTTGATATAGACACCCCGTCCTGGCTGGGAGCCCGGCACCGAGTGCCGCAGCTAATTGCTGTAAAGTGGAGCAGGTGCTTTTCCTGGTTTTGGCTAACTTTCTTCACCATCTCTAGCCCTCTTCTAGGTAACTCTCTCTTATCCCCCCCCTCCACCCCCCCCAGTCGTTGTGCTCGCGTTCATTTTTTGTCACGCTTGGACAATGCTGCTTCCCCACACCATACCAGTACAAATATACTCCCAACTCGAAGGGCAGGGTGGAAAGACACTTTCTCTGAACGGAAAAGGTGTTGCAGAAATGTTACACCCTGAATGTATCAGATGACAGTAAACATTTCTGACAGTGGCAACCAAAATATGTACTTTTAATGGCCCAAGAATTGAATGCTGGTATAGTAGTTTAACTTCATTCTTATATCCTGCTAATGTACATATGCTCAATAATTAAGATGGTAGGTAAAGAGCTGGAAGGGACCTTAGAGACCATCCAGACCAACTTCCCCTCATTTTTCAGATGAGGAAACTGAAATGCAGAGAAGCTAAGTGACATATGTGTCCCAAGGTCATACAGATGATGATATCTTAGATTTGAATTCAGGTTCTTTGACTCTTGATTTCGGCATTATATCCACTCCAAACTTTTTGAGGTAAAGAAGCATGAACTTCTATGCAGCATAAAGTGAAAAGAAAATTAAGTTAAAAAAAAAAGTAATGCATAGGGTCGAGGAAGTGCAGCAAAAAGATGCTGAATTTAGAGTTATAGGACCTGGGTTAGAATCTCAGTTCTGCCACTTCCTGACTGTGTTCTTGAGCAAATCACTTAATCTCTCTGGGCCTCCATTTCCTCAGCTGTATTATGAAGGAGTTGAACTAGTTGGTCTCTAAGGCAGGGTTTCTTAACTTTTTGTGAGTCATGGACTTCTCTGGTAATCAGGTAAAACCTATACATCTCAGAATAATGTTTTTTGATAATTGAAGGAAATGCTAAGTTTCAGTTAGAGGTTAGTGAAAATTAAGATGTGATTTTTTTTCACCATCCAGGTTTATGGACCCCCTGAAATCTATCCACAGACCCCATGGGCCCTAGGTTAAGCCCCTACTCTAAGGTCACTTTCAGCTCTAAAATCCATGAAATTTTGAAACTAAAATCCATGAAACTATGAAAGTATTTTATCTAAATAGGCAGATAGGAGATGGCAGCCACCCCAGCAAGAGGGCCTTGTGGTGTGTTTATATTTGAGAAGCTTGAATGATTTAGAAAATATAGGATTCTGTTGTGATTTTCAGCTTTTATTTAGGGCCAGTAATGAATGGGGGAAAGCATTGATAACAGGGTTGGTCAGTGATGGAAGGTTTCATGAAGGAAAAAAGTAACAGCTCCCAAGAGGATGAGGAAAGCCATTTGCTTGTCAAGAACCTTCAGTGATGGTCAAAGCATCAAAGATGGCATGGAAAACAAGTAAGGAAAAGCAGAAAACTGGGAGACAAGATAGATATTGGAGTGAAATTGATTGAATGTTGCATCTGTCAGATTTTCTGCTTCATCAAGGTACTCGTAGGGTCTAAGTTGAAAATATGGTTTAAATGAGGATAAAACATTCCACTCAGGAGAAGCTGAGGGCTTAGAAATTGAAGGGACCAAGTGCCTCCAAAAAAAAAAAAATTGGAGCTCAAGCTACCTCCCTGGGTGATTTAGAGGACTTTGCTCACAAAGCATTATGCAAATGGAAGCTTATTATAATGTACTATTATCTGCCTGAACACAAGGAGGGCTGGACCTCCATTAGAGGTCCTGTCCAGGGTTCATGAAGTAACACTAACAATGCTATTTTAGCTGACACAAGATTTGGTCAGAGGTTAATCCACAAAGTTCCGGAAGGTATTGTAAGCTTTGACTTCCAACTGGGAAATTTGGATTTTTACCTAGGCTTCTTTCAGTTCCACTATGTATGCCGTTCATTTTTTTCCCTTTTCATTGCCATTCCTTCCTCAATACCATTCCAGGCCAAGACAGCTTTTTATTCAGCACTTGTTAAACATCCTTTCACTTCTTTCAAATAACTTCCTGAACTCATTTAATGATGCCTCTTTAAGAAATCCCACTGTCTCCTTTGCACCAGCATTTGATAGTTTGTGCTTCTTAACAAGTTCTTTAGGGCAAGTATTAATCTGGTTATAGAGTTACCAGGCTTTTGTATAGGTGATTATAAGCCTAAAAGTCAGTGACAGATGTGTTTTATCGTTCTCAGTTCTTTATAATCCCTTTTTGTTTTTTCCATTTGGCTAGTTTTATTACTGGGATAAGCAACAAAATAAAATTATTGGTAGAAATATCCCTCTCTTCTCCCCCACCCCTCAGCAATGAGTAAAAGATATAAAGATTAATGTAGTTAACTACTTTCCTAGGCCTGTCATTAAACAAAAGATTTCTCTGAATCTTTGAGTTGTTGTTTCTTATATTTGAATTTATTTCTTCTGTAGACTAAAGACTGACTTCAGACTTGAATGAGGAGAAAATTCCGTTTTATCATGGCTCAGAAACTTAGGAGATGAGTTTACTTATGCACCAGCCATTCACTTTCATCCTTGTCACCTAGTTCTATGAGTGAACTACTAAAGAACAGTAGAGTCCAGGGAGTCAGACAATGATTCCTTTCAAAAACCCTTGTATGGGAAGTAGAAAATGGGGGATATTTCTGGAGTCTGACATGTTGGATTCCCCCTCATTCAAGTGAAAAGGTGATTGCTTAAAGGTAATCTGGGACTTACATTTTGGAGCCCTGCTCTTAACTTTGGATGACAGGTATAAAAGCCATACTTTGAACTTCATCTGAAAGTGATACAAACTTAATACTAAATTCCCAACATTGTTATTCATATTAGAAATGTAACTAAGGATGGAATGCCCCAGTTTCTGGGTTCGCATCTAAATTTGGTTGGCTAATTGTGGTGCTAACTGTACTTTGAATCACTCTGTGTTTTTTTTATCCATCTCTGAATAGCTGTTAAATTTGGGGACATAGTTCTCAAACATTTGAAAGGCAGTTTCTTTCTTTCTTTTTTTTTAAATCACCTATGATGGCCTGTAACTATATTTGACAAATATATTTGTGTTTTGGTTTCAGTGACAATTCACAGGTATTCCAGGCTGATATGTTAAGAACCAGAAGGAATAGTACTACATTTTTAAACCGGCACAACCTGGTAAGAAAATGCTGATAGCCTATTCATCATTACCGACCGCTCGTGCTACTTTAACAATACTTAGGGAGAGATCAACACATATACTATTGATAATTCTCTACATTTGTGGTGAAATTTCTTTCTAGAGCCCATGTGGCTTTAACAAGGATTTTGTTTTTAATATAGGAGATCACTGGGCTTCATTTTTTTTTTTTTTGCTTGAAAAGAGAATTTTCACATGCTATTTAGAGGAATCTAGTATTCATTATTCTTTGGTCTTAAACTATCACCTTCGTGTGTCATAATGTCACATAACATCTAAACAAAAATAGCCCTTTTACAGCAATAATTTTTCAGTGTGGCATTTATTTTTAAATCAGTAAGCAAAAATGAATTAAAAATTCATTATAGCTGAATGCATTTTATTAATATGATATCATCTCTAGAGCAAATTTTATTGAGTATTTAACTTAGAAATATTATTTACTGTACAACTAGAGCAGAGAGCCTGATGTAATAGCTCCCAAGAAGAACAGCCTTCATCCAAACATGCCCACATTCTTTTTGATAGCCCCAAAAAGAATACAATTCAAATGCCAAACACAGATAGAGGGGAATGGACAGGCAATTACTTATACATTAGTATAATGAAATTTGATCATTTTTAATGTCCTTTTTAACTCAAAAATCCTATGGTTCTCTAATCTGTAAATGTTATTTATTAAAAACTATAAGCACGTAGAGTGTATTAATAAAATCCAAGTTGTAGAGAAGGTACCACTCCACGTGGGCAGAGGGGGAGATTCTGCTATGTCAGAGAATCAGTATAAAATTTTGGGAGTTCCCTTTATTAATGAAATCACAGGTTTAGTCCTTATTCTTATATGCATGTGGATTGTATCCATTTTACAAAGCATATATTTGAATTAATATTTAGTGACAAAAGGAAACCACAAGCGTAACCACTTTTATCTAAGAATGTACATTTAAAAGGTCCAGAGAGAATATGGAATGATACAGTTTTAAGAGTCATTAAGCAATTTTAGAGAAGAGGAAGAAGCCTCCATTCATAAGAGATATTTTAAAAACTGAAATCTTTTCCTCACCATATCAACACCAGGCTGACAAATTTAGATCTAGAAAGGACGTCAGAGTTCATGTAACCCACCCACCCCCCACCTTTCTAGACATGAGGAAACTGAGGTTCAGGGAGGTTGAAATGACTTGTCCAGGCCATATAAAGAGTAGGAGACGACATTTGAACCCAGCTTTTCTGATTCCAGGCCTAGCATTCTTTCAGCCATTCCACACAGTCTCTTGTAAGCATATTTACCACCAGGCTCTTTCTCTAGTCCTCCTATTCATACACAACCCTGATCAGGTCACTCCTCTCCCCAACCTACCAAATAAAATCCAGACTTAGCCTAGCATTCAAGGCTTTCTGTGACCTAAACGTAGTCATCACCATCATCAATGTCATCAAGGATTTATTAAGCCCTTACTATGTGCCATTCTACCTTTTGAGCCTTACGTGGCGTGTCCCAAAAGTCTTTGTGCAATTTTACATTTTTAATAGCCTAAAACTGCATTAAGACTTTTGAGACAGCCTGTATAATACTATTTGTAGCACTTTATATTTTACAGAGTGCTTTTATTGCCATTATCCCCTCCTGCCAAACTGTACTACATTTCGTCCCTAACTCAATTCGTCTGTCTTCCTACTTCACGGCTATTTTGTGCCTGGAATTCCAGCCCCTAGTCCTCTCTCCTTTCCCTTCTCTCTCCACCCTGGTGAATTCCTAGTACTTTGCTAGGATCCCTTCTATGCATATCCCATTCTCAAGTATCTTAGTTATTTGTCATTCCTCCTATTAGACTGTGAGGTTCTAGAGAGCAAGGGCAGTTTCATATCCTTAACACCTAGTATAGTGCGTTCTCTACCTCTGTAGGTTCTGAATAAATGTTTGTTGAACTACATCAAATCCCTTAAAGCCTAACTTAATTAAGTAACACCTCCTCCTTGAAGCTTTCTGTGAATTTCCCCAATGCATTCCTTATTTCCCCCTCTGATCTCTCATAATGCCTTACCTTCTACCTTTCGCATCATGTATTACTTTGTATTTTAGTTCTTTGTGTATATACCCTATCCTCCTACTAAACCCTGAGCTCTGCACCGATAAGAAGGACCATATCTTCTCTAAACTTAATTATAATAGTGTCTAATAGTGCTCTGCACCACAGTGGGAGTATTTATTAATTGAATTTATCTTGTTGCTAGCTAGAAAGCAGCATGATATAGCAGAGAGAGAGTTCTGGATTTGGAGTTTCAAGAACCTATGTTTGAATTCTGGCTCCTACCAGATCTATTTCTTGAGGGTACGGCCTAAGTCTTACTGACCTTTGTATATCTCTCAGCATCTAGCCTATTGCTTTGCATTCTGTATACAAACACGTTTGGTATTTGAACTCAGTTTTGCAGTCCATCTTCAGTTAGTAATTGGTGTTCACAGCAATCTAGAGACTGTTTCTTGCTGTGTGCTCCTGCCCCTAGCCCAACTTCTGGGCTAGGGACTTATCAGGTAGGCCAGGACAAGTACAAGTCTTCTCATTACGCTGAAAGCAACAGTCCATGTTAAGTTTTTCAATATAAAGTAACTCGCTGCTCCAACCTAACTGATTTGTTATCCTTTTGGTGTCTTGGCCAGCTAATTTGGATTTAATAAAAAGCCAGAATTACTGCTTGTTTTTAAAGAAATGTAGTTTTGATATGTTCAAATATATTAACACTAACTTGACTAAGCGTTGGCCTAGTAGAGAATCCTTTGGTTAATGAATAGCAGATGTGAATGATTTATAATCAATCAGTTATATGTAAATAATATTCCTCCTACAATGCTTAAGGACACTTAAACAGTTTTGCCTCTTAAGAGGTTTAAATATGTCTCTTGAAATCTTGTTTCAATGTCATTTGCACTGTCAGAAAAGAATTTGCTTAGGGAAGATAAGCTTAAGTTCCCCTTGCCTTGATTGTCACAAAATCTGAAGTAGAGCCTTATTTTAGTAAGTTGCTATAAATATAACTATGGGATATATTTGGCCATCTTTCTTAGTTAGCCCTAAATGGACCAGAGACATAGTGCTAATATGGCACGAATTACCTCATCTTAGACTTTTCTTTACACTCTCATTGACTTCTTTAAAACTATCAAATCAGATTCCCCATAAGAGTCATTCTGGATGAGAAGTATTAGGCTGTGATTTGCACTTTGCACTTTGCAAGGAGTTGCCCACATTGAGATATCTTAACTCCATCAAAGTCTGAATTCAAACTCAGATTATCTGATTTCAAAGCCAGCATCCTTTTCACTTCATCACTCTTTTCTATTAATATTGTAACATTCTTTTCTGTCCCATATTGCCCAGGTGAGCAGTTCTTTCAATCTATATTAGAAACCCTAAACCTTTCGTTAGTATAACTTTCAATTTAATTTTTATAAGTTCCCTTAGTGTGAATTAAGCAGAAACATTAAAACAAATTTGTTGTTTTTTTTTTTCTGTATTGTTTTGCAGTTGCTACCATCCTCCCCTCTTCGAATCCCTAGTAGCCGGATTCATCAGATCAAACAGGTAAGAAAAAATTTGGGGGGGAAAAAACTTTGAAAGTCACTATTTAATCTAACACTAAAAAGCAAAGTTAGTTTAATTCCCATAGTGTGGTAATACTATACAAGATTGTTAATAATTTAGACTTTCATTTTAGGAGTGGCATTTGTTTAGAAAATAATTTTTTTTTACATTTAAAAAAAGTTTTGTTACATTTTAGAAAGTAGTAGTTTTAAAAAATAATATAACTATGTTATATAATGCCCTTTTCTCCCCAGGGAACTCAGAGGATTGTTACTTAGAAAAACTAATTTTCAGTTACAAAATAGGTCAGAGGTGGGGAACTTGTGGCCCTCTAGGTCAAGTGCAGCCCTTTGAGTCCAAGTTTTACAGAACAAATCCTTAGGAAAAATGAAATTCAAATTGAGCTCTCTCTCTCTGTGGCTCGGGGGTTACATTGTGTCCTTAGCATTTCTCAAGTGATAAAAAACAGCTTACAGTCAATGTCCATGAGAGCTCTTGTTTATCTCTGAGATTTGTATACGCTGTCCCCTCAATTACCATAGGTATTTGAGACTTGGTTATATGTTGCTAGTTATCAGAACTCTGAGTAAAGAATATTTTAACTGTAGCAAGTAATATAGATAGTAAACCAGCTTATTATCTATATTAATTCAATGTTTGTTGCATTTAGAACTACAAAAAAAAAAAAAAAAGTTGAAGGAGGAAAGCAGAAATGTATTAGCTCCCAGTCTGGCTGCAGATTTAATGGAAAAATTTAGATTTCTTTTCAGCAGTTTAATTTTCTGATCTATTTTTTTTTCCCAGTTGCCCATTTCCTATTTCTTTATATCTGGGTTTTTAATTGTGATTTCTTTTTGGCCATAGAAGTTAACCTTTTAAATTCAAGATAGTGTCACATATGGTGGTTGTGCTTGTTGAGTAATATTTCCCCTTCATATTCTGAAAATGAAACCTAACAGGCATCATGTTGTTTGTGTCTTGATACACGGGCTTCCTAAGTGTCTTTGGAGAAACATATCACTAAACATATTCATTTTTAGAAGAGTGAAAACAATTTTCTTTTGTAGAACATTCCTCTAAAAGGAAATTTTTGTCCATATATACATTTAAGCATATGTATAGGGAAAGCTGTATCCCCTACTGCCTCTTCTTTCCTACGGGTGCTAATAGCAATATTACAAAGGTAAAGAATGCCTCTTCCATGTGTAGGCCATGTCAAGTGGAAATGGAACACAATTTCCCTCCATATTATATACCACATAATACCCCCTCCATGTCTTCTACATACCTATTGTTTGTGCCTTCTGAAATGATAAAATTTAATACACATTTACAAATTACTTCCTTTTTTAAAAAATGGAATCTTAGAGTTGAAAGGGAACTCTGAAGTTATCTATTTCAGCATTCTCCATGGGTGATCATTTAGCTTCTGTTTGAACACCTCAGCTCATGGGTGGGTGACTCACTACTTCCTGAGGCAGCAATAATTACCAGAAAAGTTTTCTTTAAACTTAGCTGAAAATAATAAGCCATGAGTCCAAAAGAATGAAGATGAAACACGAGTACTCAATTCCTGACAGAGAGGTGATGAACTTAAAATGCAGAAAGAGACATTCATTTTGGGACATGGCTAATGTGAGAATTTGTTTTCCTAGACTATGTGGCTATGAGGGCTTTATTTGTTTTTGTTTTTTCCTTTTAATTTGCTATGAGGAGATGTGGAAGGAATGGGAGGGACAGATTAATAGAAGAATACTTGTTACCTGAAAAATAAAAAGAATATAAACTAAAAAAACCTTTTTTTAAAGAAACAGCTGAAATCTACCCCTAGCTTGCACCCTGGCTGTAGCTTCTGAAGCAAAGCAGAAGAAACCTAAGCCCTCTAATGCAGTAGAACCCTTCAAAGATGATGCTCTGTACTATAGGCAATAATTTGGATGCCATTTGGCTAGGGTGGAATACCGGGGCGGGGAGGGGGAAGTGTGTAATCCACCTCCTGTATTCTAGACACCATACTTCTAGTAATGCAACCTAAAAACACATTACCCTCTACATTGAGCTTATGGTCATTTAAAACCTCCAGATCTTTTTTGTCCCTGTGTTTCCCAGAGTTCTGTACTTGTCCAATTGGGTTTTTCAAAATTTTAAGTGCTAAACTTTACATTTGTGCCAGTTAGCTTTAATTTTGTTATAGTTGGCCTTTTGTTCCATTCTACTGAGATCAGTTCAGATCTGTTCAGAACTGAACTTTGTCATCCTGTCATCTGAAAATTGATAAGCCATGCCGTCAGTTTCTTCATTCAAGTCCATTAGTGATGGTGGTGAAGAGAATGGAGTCAAAGATAGAGCACTCTGCTGCTGCAAGGGTCTGGTGGCCCCACCTTACCTAGATTATACACTGATAGGACTTTTTAAAGGATTGGAACAGACAGACATGAGTGTAGCCTTGACACTGTCATATGATAGGTTAGACTTATTCCACTGGGTCCCAGAGGGCAGAACTAGAAGCAATAGGTGGAAGCTACCAAGAGGCAGATTTAGATTTTCTGTAAGGAAAAAACTTACATAATAATTAGAACTGCCCTGAAGGGAGAGAGTCTGCCTCAGGAGCTCTTGGGTTCATCTTCCTTAGAGGTCTTCATAAGCAGAGGTTAGATGCCCACTTACCAGGTGTGTTCTTGGTCATGGGGATGCTTAGGAAAGTACCATTTGGACTAAATGGCCTCCAAGGTCCCTTCTGACTCTTAAATTCTCATTCTTTGAGTTAGTGATATAAAGTGACTTTATGAACTGAATCTGTTTGAGATAAAGTATGCTAATTGCAGACAGAACATCCAGAAATTATATTGTAGGGAGCAGTTCTAGAGCCTCCGTTAAGATACGTTTTATGAATGTTTCTTTCCATCTACAATTAGCCCTGAACTTGCACCTTTTACTCTTTTCTTTAGATTTTACCTTTGCAGTGTGTTTTTGTTTTGTTTTATTTTTTAAATAGCACAGAAAATTGTTACAGTATGGTATGGTAGTAAAAGCTCTGAACTGACAGTCAAAAGAACTAGCTTCTAATCTATATTTTGCCACGCGTTTGTTGTATAACCTTTGGTAAGTCATTTAACCTTTTCTGAGCCTCAGTTTTCTTATCTGGATAATGGAGATAACATCTGACCTGTTTACCTCAGGGCTCTTGTGAGAATCAGTTGTAATATACAACTCGGAAATTTGTAAAGTGCTTTATAAGGTAAGGTGGTATAAGTATCATATCACCAAGTATTTTAAGTATTCATTGTGAATGATTTTAAATTTCACACTCTGATAGGAACATTTTAAGGATTTTTGTGGTAAGCTTCTCTAATTGATTGTAAGTTCCTTGAGATCAGGGACTGCATCGTATTCATCTTTGTACCATGCCTCCACAGCATCTAGCAAAGTGCCTTGCACACAGATGAACCTTTAAAAAAAAAAAAATCAGTTGTTGAATGAATAAATGAATGATAAAAATTGAGCCTCTCATCAGAGGAAAGATATTATAAAATATTAAATCAAAGTGGATAACAGTAATTACATTCAGTGTGAAAGAATGGTTTTGGTTTTTTTTTTTTTTTACTATATTGTTTTCAAATACCAATTAACATCTTCTACTTCTCCCAAATTCTTCATTTCTATCAATGTCATTAATACTCACCCAATCACAATTGAAAGTCTTGGTTTTGTTTCTGATTCTTCCTCCTCTTTCATCCACCAATCACTAAATCTCATGTATTCTTTCTTGACAACCTCTCTCTGATTTATTCTTTTGTCTCCACTCCCACTAGCCAGGCCCCTTATGCCTTGGATTACTGCATCAGTCTTTTCTACTTCTAGTTCTTCCCCTGTCCCTTTGGCCAATCCATCCTGCATTCTAGCACTAGAGAAGTCTTTCTGAAAACACTATTGCTAATGTAACTTGTTATTGCTGTTTAGTTGTTTTCAGTCATGTCAGACTCGTTGTGATCCCATTTGAGTTTTCCTGGCAAAGATACTAGAGTGGTTTATCATCTCCTTCTCCAGCTCCTTTTACAATTGAGAAAACTGAGGGAAGTGGCTTGCCCAGGGTCACACAGCTAGTAAGTGTCTGAGGCCAGATTTGAACTCACAGAGATGAGTCTTCCTGACTCTAAGCCTGGCACTCTATCCACTGTGCCACCTAGCTACCCTGCTAATGTAACTATCCTGCTCAAAATGCCAGTGGCATTACCTGTTGAGTAAGATCCAGACTTCTCATCTGACATTCAAAGTCCTTCATAATTTGGCTCCACCCTGTCTATTTGACCTTATTTCTCACTATTTGGCAGTACGGATCTTAAAGTTCATGCAGGCCAGTCTCTTCTCCAGCCCTTCAACGCATAATGCTTATTTCTACCTCTCAGCTTTTGTTCATGTTGTTCCCACTGTCCTGCCTCTTTCAAGAAGCCTTCCATGATACTTTTTAGTAGGGATTTTGGTGCAAGTCTAAATGTTAAGCAAAAACACGTATGCTTGTTCAGGGACTCTTTCTCTATAACACAGTGAAGAGAAAAAGATGAGGATTCATCAAATATTAAATAAAACTGGGTAAAGATTCAGTGCATTTAGTGTGGTTGTTTTTCTTGTCCTTTAGGAAGAAGGGATGGATATGCTAAACAGGGAAACTGTACATGAACGGTGAGTATGTTACTTTTGAATTAAAATGTTTTAGGATGGTGTTTACTTCCAGGTATATTTGTATCCAGTCTTTATTTTTATTAAAAAAGGAAAAAAGTACCAAAAATAACATGGCCAAGTGTGATTCTTTTCTTTTTTCTTTTTTTTAGAGAAGTTCAAACTGCAATGCAGATAAGCCAAACATGGGAAGAAACTCTAACCTTGGTAAAGTATTTGTACTTCAATTTTGCATAAATTTTTGAAATTTTGTACTTACCAAGATGTCATTCTTCCCTATTTCTGCTTCCTTATTTCAAAACCTTAAATACTATTTGGTGAAAATTAGGATGAGATGTGCTTCTATTTGCTGTAACTTAAAATGCTTTTAAGAAGAAATATTGTATGGTTTAGCCATAAGATTACTCTCTACTTTTTAAGAGTTGGGTTCAAAATAAACAGCTGTCTGAAACAAAACCATCACTTTAGTTATGGAGCACTCCTTGGTCTTGATGATGGGCTTCAAAAAAGTCTAGTCAAAATTCTTAGATGATAAAACAATCGAAGTTCTTATTTTCTCTCCTTAATTTACTAACTATTGTACTTTAAAGCCACAGATGGTGGATTTCCTGAAAATTTGACTCTTTTATATCCATAATGCATACTTCCCCAACATTATTTTAGCATATACCCTTCAATTGAAACAGGTTTAAAACTTAGAAACTCTTACTAAAAAATTGTTTAACTCCTACGTATAGATTATGGTTGCTTAATTGTGGTAGTTGAAATGAACAGCCGTTTTCAATGTTAGTCATCCTGGCTGATGAACTGAGTAAAGATTGAGCTGAATTTTCAGATTCTTGTTTGACCTCTCTTTCAGAGTCTTAAATAAACCCAATGACTGGAAACTTGTTACTAGGGAAGATAATACTTCTTTTCCTAGATATACTGGAATACCAGAGTTGACAGGTTGTCTCTGATGATTGTAGCAGTTAGGCTATTTAGACACAAATAGACTTTGGGGATCCCCTTGCAACCTGGCATTTCAGTGCTTTGATGCTGTCAGAACTTAGAGCTGATATTTTATCTTAATTTTTATTTTTATGTAATCTATTTTTTCTCCAATTACATGTAAACATTTTTTTCACATTTGTTTTTAAAAAATTTTTTGAGTTCCACATTCTTTTCCTCCCTTATTGATAAGGTAAGCAATATAGGTTTGATATAGGTTATACATATACAGTCATGCAAAACATATTTCCACGTTAGTCATGTTGTGAAAGAAAACATCAACAAAAAAACAAGCGAACAAAGAAGGAAAATAAAGAAAAAGTATGCTTCAATTTACATCCAGATTCCCATCAGTTCTTTGTCTGGAGGTGGATGGCATTTTTCATCAAGTCCTTCAGAATTGCCTTGGATCATTGTATTGCTGAGAATAGCTAAGTCATTCACAGTGGATCATCATTGAGTATTGCTGTTACTGTGTACAACATTCTCCTGATTCTGCCCATTTCACTTTGCATCAGTTCATCTAAATCCAGGTTTTTCTGAGAACATCCTTTAGAGCTGCTATTTTAGAGCTGGATTTAAACAATTAGGTGAATCCAGTCATTTTAGTGCTTATTTTTAATGTGTGTAGATGCCATTGTTCCTGCTTCCCCAATAGTACCCAGTTTCAACTATTTCCTCTACGGTCATTTTCTAAACAATATTATTTTCAGTATCATCTCCACTCACATTTAGGGAGAATAATATTCCCTTTTTCTCCAATACCTTGATACTGAGCAGTACTAGCTCTTTTGGAGCTACTATACAGCTACTGAAAGCTTTTGGGAATCACTAAAATTCCACTGGTAACAGGTACTCCCAAAACTTAAGGTATATCACCTGTCAGCAGAACTGATTTTGAGGTTCCTTGCCATGGTGTAGAGTTGGTAGAAATTCTGAGCTCTTTCCAACCAATGAAAGTGATAGGAATTGCTTTTCCCCAGCAGCAGCAGCAATCTAATGTTTCCTCACTGCTGTCACCTAGGTTCAGCTATCAGTGACATAATTGCATACTGTTCCATTTACCTAGAACGATAACGATGGAGAGAAGTCATCATCCCCAAGGCGTGTTGATTTTATTCCAGTATCTCCTGCCCCTTCACCTACAAGGGGAATTGGAAAGGTAAGAGAGTGAAGCTTGACCATGTGCCCTCTAATATTCATTCAATGAGCCAGTAAAACATGTGCCTTCTAAGCATCTGTTCTGTCCAGCACACTGTGTCAGGTACTGGGGGAAAACATAAGCTAAGCTGACACTTAGGAAACCTTATGTTTAGCACCCCCAATTCCAAACAGCCTCTCTTACTGTAAACAGTATATGTGATTTGGAAAGTGGCATATCTTCTTTTTTTTTAAGCCCTGTTATGTTTGGTTTTTTTTAGCAGTGCTATTCGCCTTCATTACAGACCTTTGTTGCCAGCAATGGGATGCCTCCTAGCCCTATTCCTAGCCCGACTAGACGATTTGCTACGTAAGTTTACATTATAGGAGAGTACCAAATTGATTCTAGCTAAAGCAAAGTTATATTTTTCTTTCTAAGTTTCTTTTTTCTGGACTTAGTAAACATGAGTAGTGTCTTCTCATAGCTAAATTAAAATATTGTTTTTTTCACCATCGTTTCACATGTAGTGAATTATCCAGCTGAATTTGTACATATTTGTACACATGAGATCTTCCTTCTGCATATATTGACTCACAAATATAATTTTCTAGATAATTTTTACAAGTATACCCTCTCATCCACCTAGAAACATGCAAAAATACACAAAGAATCTATGATTTCATGAACATCTAACCTCTGATGTAGGAACTCCCTCAATCAACCAAAACTGAAAATTAAAGTCTTAAGACTTTGGAAGCTATATGAGTTCCTCCTATAGCTGCTGATAAATATGTGGAAAAGTCAGTGTTGACTACAAATCTGAATGGGCCAGTATCTCCTGAAAATCCAAACTGTTGGCATTTTATTTAGTGGAGAAGTCCTGGCAAATTGCCTGAAGTTACTTTACCTATAAGTGATTGCCCAGGGTCCTGTAGCTGGTAACGTGTCAAAAGTGAGATTTGAACCTCCAAAGTCTTCCTGATTCCAAACCCAGCCCTCTGTAACCATTGCGCATGCTGCCTCTATCCATCTCTAGGTCTGTAATAGCCCTGTGAATTACAATTAGGACTGCATAGGTATCCATTAATGTGTCCAAATTTAGAAAGATTTTCCTGGCTAGAGAGCCGAGTTATAGAAGTACGTTTGGTACTAGGTTATTCCTATTCTCACTCAGAATTAGGACAGAACAAATTAGAAGCTTCTACTGCTATTTACTTGGCATTGGAGAAAGATTGGGCATGGCTTCTGAGACCTATATTTTATGACCACATTTTCTGGTCTAATGAGTTATGCCAGCTGGACCTGGTTATCCAAATCCTTTGTGAGAGTAGCGATGGCTTTGCTCTGGTAATCTTGTAGACTTCTGATCACAACTGTTGACATATGCATAGAGGCATGATAATGACAAATATGATTCATATTATATCAGCAGGAGGAGTCAAAGTCCAATCAACTGTATCAGACCAAGTGTGCTGGGACCCATAAAGAGAAAAGGTACCGTGGTTCTATGGGAGTTCAGGAAATGGGACTTATAAAGTTGTATTTTCTCAACATATACTCTAAGAGTAGCTTGCACTTCATGGTACTTTACAATTATTACAATTATTACAAAAATTACAGTTACAATTATTACAAATAATTTCACATATATTCTCACTAAATCTTTATCAAGTAGTGGTTTTGTTAGGATGAGTTTTTCACTAACCATGTAACCTTTGATAGATATTAGAAGTATTATAATAAAAATACTTTTCAATTTAGACTGCTTAGTTCAGTAAATATTTTATTGCTTTTTCTTCCAGTGATTAATGTGGAGAATATTAAAATGTGGTGTAAAATTTTAAAATGTTTGAGGTTGTAGTGTTTGTTTTTATTCTTAGTTTTAAAAAGGTGGGATGAAAGGAAGGAGGACAGTTGGTTTTGGGATGATGATGACTTAAGCAGGAAGGTGGTTTTTGAGCCAGTCTTGGCTCATCTCATCCTGTCTCCATTTGACCTTGTTCTTCTTTTCTCTACTTGCTTAGCAAACAAAATGAACTGCATATTTAGTAAGAAATTCAATTTTCTTGGAGTGGGATGGTGAAAATGGGAGAATAGAAGGGGTCAAGGAGGAGATAGCAGAACCACACACAGCATGCTTTCTTCTTTCAAACATAATATATTTTGAACTAATTAATATGACAGGCTTCCAGCATAGCATATTTAATTAAACCAAGACATATGCATTTCTTTGTAATTACTCTCAAATTATTGAAGACTGAGCTGTGGGTAAGGCCTTTTTTTTTTCTTTAATAAAACTGTCTGTAACTTAAATGTATGAGTCAGTGTCATGCAAAAGTGGCAAGTCTATGGGTAATAGAGCACTTGGAATCTTTTTAATATATTAAATATATGCTTAAGTTCAAAATTTTGTGCATTAGCTTAACTGAAATCTTCCCTTTTAGGAGATTGAGGTTTTGTTTAGTTTATGTTTAAAAGCTGCTTTTACATATTACAGAAGTGAACATTCACTTGTAATTCGACCACTTCAGACTGTGGGGCCCTTCAATCCACGTAAAAAGTAGAGAAAGAGGGTACCGAGAACAAATTGGGCTATGGTAGGCAAGGCTGAAGGAATCAGTGTTCTTTTGCGCTAGAGAAGAGAACCTTCCAAGGTGAAGAATAACTTTTAGGAAGAGGATCCAAAACATAAGAAGGTTTTACAGGTGGCAATAAACAACAATTGGCCATTTTCTCTGAGAATAAGACAAGAGAGAATGAACTTAAAGGGGCAGAAATGAGCTGGTTGGTTTAGGAGGGTTGCCTTACTAAAGAAAACTGTGAGACCTTCTCTGAAGATAGGTTTTTTCTGGGTTTTTTTTTTTTTTTAAACACATAGAAGACTGGCTTTCCCTAAATGGTGAAAGTCTAGTCATGTCTGGGGGCATGGGTAGAGAGATGCATTAAATAACCTTCAAGCCTTCTAAAATACGTAGTAATCTTCCCAAGGAAGAGTTAGAGAATCTCTATCCATGTGGATGCTTTAAAAAACAAAAAAGATGTAGCCTTTGGTTCATGATGATTGTATAATCCTGCCTGTATGCAAAAGCTCTTCCAGCAATGGAATGCTCTTTACCTCACATGTAATTATATGATCATAAAGCATTGGATATCTTAACATTTATTCAAAAGTGACCATAAAGTTGCATCAACACACTCTTTTGGTTGAAAATAGACACCCCATCCTCCATCCCCCCAGCTCCAAGATGTTTAAAACTAGCTTTGCCACTGTTGTTTTTTTCATAGGCGAAATGGAAAATGAAGATCAACCAAAGAGATTCTTTCAAGGCACCAGTAGCAGTCTGCTTTCTCCTGATGTTCCATCAATTCCTGACATGTGGTAAGCAATTTAACATTGGGTTTCCAGCATTCATTAAGGTGTGTATTGCATGGTTTTATTAAGGCCTTATTTGACTTGTCAGCTTTGGCACATTTTTTTAGATGTTAGCAAGCTAATCTCAAATAGATTTGTTGATTAGTTTGTATAGTTAGTTAATGTTAGTTCTCAGGCATGTGTATATTTAACATTGATTATATAATGGATGTGTTTTTTGAAAGTGTGGCCATAGGAATAGATTACTATATGGTACATGGGACAGGTATGGTTATGCACACCTGGGAAAAAACATTCTCCTATCCACTTGAACCACAGTAAACCTAGTTCAATGAGAAAAAGAGAACTTTTCTTTGTTACTCTTTACTTTACTATCCAGATGGTATCCTGAAACTGTAACTACCACCACTTTTTTGCTGCAGATGGTCTGTGGTCATTTGCAGACTCTCCCTGTCCCTCTACCCCCTGCAAAATGCACATTCAAATTTCTTGATTTCTATTTACAATGGGTGGCCTTTTCTTCTCCCAGTCTGTCTTCAGATGCTCTTGATGGAAACAGCAGCAGTGCTGGATCTTCTTGTAACTCACCAGCTAAAGTCAGCACTACCACCGACTCTCCTGTGTCGCCCTCTGACTCGGGCTCTCCATTTATCCCCGTAGATGAGCTTTCATCTAAGTGATTCACCACTCCACGACTTGTTTTTCTGATGGAGAGAAAAATCCAGTTGGAGTAATAACGTAGAATTGTATTGTGCAGTTTGGGCTATTTCCTCTTTTATATTTTTCCTCTTAGGAATATCCAGAAATATTGTTATTCTAGAGAACTTCCATGTCCAGTTCCTGAGGATGCGCTTAAATTCAACATAGTAATCTTTTCAAAAACATCTTCTAAATGAGGAGTATGTTGAAGCTATAAATGTACATCTTTTAAGCTGCTAATATATCTATATACCTATGTCATCCCTTGATTATTTTTTTTTAATAATTGAGAGCGCTATTTATTTATGGGGATAGTAAGTTCTGATGAAGTATAATTGTTAAATCAGTATCACAAACTGATGTTTGAAAATGACACTTTGTGCCCACACTAGTTCTTAATATTTTCAGTAATTGCTAGCCTTCATTTAAAAAAAGAAACATAACCAACCTATCAAAAGCTGTTTTTAAAGTATGCTAATTATAACATACTAATCTTACGATTATCTGTTTTACACAGGAATCCGGAGCTATTTACTTTGTTTTGGGAAGAGAAAGGGGTAGTATAAGGAGGAAAAAATCCTAAATGAATAGCAGAAGCAAAGTGCTTAATTGGGGCTTTGTGCCAGTATTCAACTTGTGTTTTACCTTGATTGATTTTATATTTAGATGTGGAGAAGCCAGTGTTGATTAGTAGTAGCTTTATGCATTTTTGTGAATTCCTTTTTATTTCTAATTATGACTGCTGATTTGATTAAATATGCTTCCTACATGTAATGGATTTTCCGTCAGAATTACCTACTTCCTTTTTCCCCTAAATGACTGTAAATTTTTTTTTAACTCCAAATGTTTTGCTATCTAAAAATCTTTTAAGGGATTTTTTTTTTAAAATAGAAATAGAATAGCCCTAGCAAAGTGTTAAATTTTAAAACCTAAAATAAGTGCTTTGAACAATTGGGGTAGTTAACATTCGATTTAAAATTAGAAAGGGAATTTTCTGAATTTAAGTTGAGAATAGATTGAAATGGGCATAGTCAATTATGAATAGTCCTTATAAAACACATTTCCTTTTCGAAGGAGATAACTAGAACAATGATTTTTAACTATACTCTCAAATGGGAAAAGACACAGGTGCAGAGGACTGTGATGCAAAAGCCTTGACGGCTTTCACCATAAGAGTCTATGGATAAATGTAACCACATACGCCCAAGTATGCACCATTCATCATGATGGACTTCTAAGAAGGGAATAGAATTCTACTAATGACCAACTACGAGTAAATGGGACTGGTGGTATAGTCTTAGTGATGCTTTAGCTTCTTTGTTTCCCAGGTCTTAGACTTGTTAGGTAAAAAGAAAGGGGTTAGAGGGGCTTTGCTGCAACTTAATGTGGTAGCAATTCTGTACCTTGCCCCCCCCACCAAAAAAAAAAAGGAAAAAAAAAAGCTGTGTCTATCGACAAAGACAGAAAAGGTTCTTATACAGCTATGATGCATTTGCACAGACTCTAGGAGAGGATATAATGTTCCAGAACAAAAACCACTGAAGATAGACAAAGTGAACTTTTAGGGTGAAAACACTGCTTCAAGAAACCTTGTATAAATTCATAAGCTAAGCAATACATTAGTATATGCTTATATATGTAGGGGGTACTAATAATTGGACTCCTCTAGCAAGGGGTTTGCTTTGGTAATCATAACTCTACTTAGCTCAGACCATTTTTCACTCTCTTCTAGTTAGTTTAGACTTCTGTGTTATGTGCTAGAATAACATAACTAACTACAGTATGCTTGGTGTAGCATTTGTGAATACTGTTGTTGGCTTTTCATTCTTGATTGCAACTGTTGCCTTTTGAGCTTGTGTAATGGAAGGAGCCTGTTTTTCTCTCTACAAAAGACTTTCCCTCTCTTGGTATTCAACCTCAAAGAATTGCTTAACTTTTCCATGCTGTTTTTGTGGTTGGTTCCTTTTGAGTATGATAAGGCTGTAGTTTATCTTAAACATGCCAAAGACCTGTCACGTCACTCTTCTGTAGGGAAGACTGATTCTGGGGGGTTCTACTTTGCTTGTCTCATTTTTCCTGAATGAGTCTCTTACTGTCTAATCTATAACTCATCTTAAAGATGCAAGAACAAGAGCTAGTTGTGCTGTGTATATGTGTTGGTGTGTCCTCTTTCTGTTATATTTATGCTAGTTTTCAAAATGCTAATAAAAATTAAAATGAAAGAGAGGTGTGGCTTCCAAAAGTTCTTTTTTGGTGTAATGCTTCTTGGCTTTAAAAAATATGTTCATGTTTGCTACAGGACTTCCATCTTAGAAATCTTAGAAGCACAGCTTGAGAAATTCACCTTTGCCGTTATTCTAACTGAGCTATTTGTTGTTTGTTTTTCTTTAATATAGAAGTGGAGAGGTGGTTGGTTGCTAAAATACTTGTATAAAATCTACACCTACCCTTGTAATCCACCAGAGAACTTAGATCTCCAAATTTTCTTTATCTGCATTTTCACATAAACTTGCCCCATTTCATGAAAGGTTTCATATGTGAAATTCTAAAAAGAGGAAAACAGCTCTGTGAGCCTAAAATTGCCATATCAGTCCAAAAATGTGTTTTTATTTTGGTCTGGACCTGTAATTTCACTGGTGTAAGGAACTCCTAGTGAGGAAACACCTTCTGTTAATGCAGAGCAGCTACTGTTTAAGTATCACTTCTAATCTAAAGAGTTGCTTGGGACATTGAGAGGTTAGGTGACATCACCAGTATCAGAGGTGAGACTCAAACCCCGGTCTTCTGAGTTGGAGGCTATGAACCGTCTCTCCAAAATATGCCATCCCCAAAATGACATTAGAATTCTGTCACTGAGATTTTGAAAGTAGAATTTAAATTTGTGGAGTTGTTTTTTGAAGCAGTATTTCTCTTCAGGCAGCCATGACTAGAGCTTAGTCACTGCGAGTCAAAATTTCAAATTTTTGTCCTTGGATTTGATTTGTGACAAAATGATCATAATGGACCTTTTTAAAATGTGCACTTACCAGATTCAGAGTTGACAGGTTACGAGGCTATACTGAGTGACTTCGTTTTTTTTTATTGGATAGCTATTTTTTCCCCTAAGAAAAGGAGGTGCCTCAAGAATGCTGTCGTCTTGTTTTCTGGCTCTTTGCATCAGTGAAAAAGGATTTTAACAAGAGTGTTTTCAGTACTGTGACATGCTGTGGTGCAATGCCAACTCCCCCCCCCCACCCCTTCCAAGATTTGAAAGACTTCTCCACATCATAAATTCTAAAATTTAGGCATTGTGATATAAAAGTAGATGATTTAAAAACCCCATGGAATCTTAAATAGAACTTAAGTAGTCATTTAGTCCAGCCTTGCCACCCCCATTAGAGAATTTCCTTCTTACAGTACCTCTTACAAATGTTCAGGCAGAGGACCGAGTACTTCCAGTGATGGAGAACTCACATCCTTACAAGGCACTCCATTCCATTATTTGATAGCTCTAGTTATTAGACAGTTCTTTCTTAAATTAGAGAAAGGCAGGAGGGAGGATCTTGTGTGTATATGAGTAACAATATACTACCAGATATTTTGTCCTGGGATGGATTTAACCAAATCTTTAAAACAAGTTCTAAGCCTGTACGTTAACCTTGGACCCTTGTCCTTGGATTATTAGGTTCTTTGGACTCCTCCTAACAACATGTCTGATCTCTTAAATGACTCAAAGTTTTATCCTACAGGCACATCTGTATGTCTTTTACATAATGGACTCTCTGTAACAGTATATTATAGGGAGAAAAAATAATTGCTATTTTCCCTGACCTTGCATTTCAGTATTTTAGCTCTTAGGACCTGAGCCTAAAGAGGTCTTATCCATGTAGAATTCATTGCCAAATGATTAAAGCTTTTAATTTTGAAAAGGGCAGACCATGCTAAATGAGGTTAAGATAATTCCGGGGAAAATGCACTCCAGCCTTGCCTCCTTCATTGCCACACCATGTCTTCTTATATCACAGATGACTTTCCAATGATTTTTCCACCAAGGTTAAAAATAGGATTGGTTTTCACTGTTGTCTATAAGTTCTAGGTAGAGGAAGCCAAAGGAAAATCACATAGGCAGCTTGGAAATTTGTTTTTACTGTTGTGGTGGCAGGATAATTAATGGCCATATGTTCTCAGAAGCACTAAATAAATGCATCCATACGATTAGCTGGATCCTATAAATTGACTGATAGCTGTATATGTGAAATTGGAGATCTTTGTGGCCTAACTGACAGCAACACAAATTGGTAAAATAATTGCCCAGTGTCAGCCTTTCAGTATGTGATCAGACTACAGTTTGGGCCCCTAAAGTACTGCCTCTGTTTTTGCAAGCAGAGAGAACGTCATGCTGGTCATAAACCTCTGAACTCTTTAAGAAGATGCTTGCAGCGGTTAGGGAGGGTCACGCCCATGGAAGTCAAGGCTCTGATCCTTGCCTGCAATGTGGAACTCATTTTGTTCTTTCTCAGCCATAGTGTCCTCTGTCTTTTGAATTATGCATGATTTATTCGGAAAGGGAATGCTAATTTCCTTGTGCTTTCTTGTTTTGTGTGAATAAATTATTTTCTTGGGATTTGCATGTTAATCACCTCTCATTGCAGCAAAGCACACGCCAATTTAAAAAAAAAAAAGCACCTCTTCATCAGCTCATAAGATGTGAGACTTAAGATACATTTGGTATGGGCATTGTTTAAAAGGACCCTGGGAGAAACAACCCAAATCTTCGAATTTTTCCTGTTGCATCAATGGAAAATCTTATCTAATACTCAAAAGTTGACTACCAGCAAGAAAACTTTTTTGAAATAATCATCATATGGCTATGAGGAAGGAGGTGGAGTGGATCCCTCTACTAGAACTTAGTTTATTTCTTGGCCTGGGTCTTCTCTGTTGGTAGCTCTCCAGGAAACATAAGCTTAAAACTGAAGGTCGTGACTTGAAAGAGTCAGAGAGAGCTAGCCTGTGATTTTGTGCTTTGTAGGGAAGTAGTCTGAAATTAAATTATCCAGCAAAGGAACCTAATTATACCTTTCATTTTTATTCTGGCTTTTCCAAGGAGACCTCCACTAAAGTCATCCTTCTGTGCTGCCTCATGGCACAGAGGTGAGTCCTGGGTTCTAGAAGCCTGCACCAAATGAGTGTAAGCTCTTGGAAGTTACAACCAAGTTGGAAAAGCTTTGTGTATGGGTCTGGTGATAAGCCTGCATGTTTAGCATCCTAGGACTAGCAGTTCAGAAAAAGTCAGAACCAAAAGGTTGGCCCCCAGATATTGATTTTTTTGGGGAGTGCTACAGGAATTCATGAAGGCTTCCTAGTAAAGGGTGGAAGGGGTTGTGCATTAGTGGAGGGAAGAACTAACAAAACTACAGGTTGTTAAAGTATGGAAATATTATGAGGGGAAATAGAAACACTGTGGTTGGTTTAGTTTGCCTTCTTGACTGACATTTTATTAAATTACTGTGTCAGTGATTTGTAGACTTATATTGAATCAACTCAAGAACAACCATTAAGTGCCTACTACATGAGAGGCAGTATTCTAGGTACTTCGGATACAAAGCAAAAGCCCTGTCCTTAAGGGCAAGAACTTTTTTTTTTTATGAATTTATTTTGAATTATCAAAAATCACTTCCATAAGCTTTTGAGTTTTAAATTTTTCTCCCCCTCCCTCCCCACCTCCTTCCCTAAGATGGTGTGCAATCTGATATAGGCTATACATATACATTCCTATTAAACATATTTTCACATTAGTGATAGTTGTAAGTAAGAATTAGAACCAATAGGAGGAACCACCAGAAAGAGAAAACAAAACACAACAGAAGAAAAAAAAAACTAGCAAATAGTATGCTTCAATCTGCGTTCAAACTCCATAGTTCTTTCTTTGGATGTGGTTAGCATTTTCCATCATAAGGCCTTTGGAGACGTCTTAGATCCTTGTATTGCTGAGAAGGATCTATCAATATTGGTCATCGCACAACATGGCTGTTACTGTGTATAGCGTTCTCCTGGTTCTGCTCCCTTCACTCAGCATCAGTTCATACAAGTCTTTCCAGGTTTTTCTGAAGTCAACCTGTTCATCATTTCCTTTAGCACAATAGTATTCCATTACATTCATATACCACAACTTGTTCAGCCATTCCCCAATTGATGGGCATCCTGGGCAAGAACTTCTTAAGGGAGAATGACATTATTGAATTACCCTTAGGAACCCTAAGACATGGGTCAGTGTTCTTTGGGACCCAAATTTATTTTCTTGGGAGACCCAAATTAATTTTCTAAATTAGAATCCTAAAATCTTCAGAATCACACACACATACACACATATACACACACTTTATCTATTGTGAAAATGCCTTACCAAGACCACTCAGTTCCTTAGTTTACTCACTTCCCATAAGCTACTCCTTCACCCCACCTCAACCACACAAAAAGATGGTCTTACCTTTGATCTTGCCATCACCTACAGATATACCAGCTGTGTTCAAGAATTCTGAAATCTCCTTATCTCACCATAATCTATCAACTTTTCGCCTCTCTCTCTGCCTTCCCTTACAAAACCCTACTCTTTGTACTATAACCTCCAATCCCTTGACCCCTAATTCTCTTCCAAGCCATCTCCTCTCTAGCCATATTCTCTTCTCCCCATCTTGACCTCGTGGTGAACTAATTCAACTCTACACTGTCTTCCTCTCTTGAAAATCTCTGGGGCAGCTAGGTGGCGCAGTGGATAGAGCTCCAGCCTTGGAGTCAGGAGGACCTGAGTTCAAATGTGGCCTCAGACACTTGACACATACTAGCTGTGTGACCCTGGGCAAGTCACTTAACTCCAATTGCCTTACCCCAAAAAAAGAAAAATACAAAACAAAAACCAAAGTTACTCATAATCTCTGAGTTGCCAAATCCTATGGCCTTTTCTCAATCCACATTCTCCTTGACCTCTCTACGGCCTTTGACACTGGATTATTGTCCTCCTTGATACTCTTTTCTCTAGGTTTTCAAGATACCTCTGTCTCCTAGTCCTCTTC